GTATTCTTGCCTGGAGAATTCCATGGACAGAGTAACCTCGTGAGCTAGAGCCAAGGGGTTGCAAAGAGTTGGGCACAACTGAGTGACTGAGCACACATGAATATAAACAAAATAGATAAATAAGAAGAACCTATTGTAAAGCACAGGGAAATCTACTCAGTGCTATGTAATGGCCTATATGGGAAAATAATCTAAAAAAGTGGATAGACTTCCCTGGTGGCTCAGATGGTAAAGCGTCTGTCTAAAATGCAGGAGACCCGGGTTTGATCCCTGGGTAGGGAAGATCTCCTGGAGAAGGAAATGGCAACCCACTCCAGTATTCTTGCCTGGAAAATCCCATGGAGGGATGAGCCTGGTAGGCTACTGTTCATGGGGTCGCAAGGAGTCGGACACGACTTCACTTTCACTTTGTATTACTGGTTCACTTTGCTGTATACCTAACACAACATTGTATATCAGCTTTATCCCAATAACAAAAATAAATAAGTTCTGCCAAAAAAGAGAGAGAAAGAGAGAGTAAGGGCTGAGAAAGAGCCAGACAAAGTGAGGAAAAAACATTAAAAATGCAAATCCTGGACCAGAAAAATGCAGGATGCGGAAGGAAGGAAGAAGAGATGAGAGAGAGTGGAGGATTAGGTCATTTAAAAGTGCTTGAGCCATTCTGAAGACCTGTTAAGGAAACCATATCAAAGCCTTTATTTATACCATATGTATAGTCACTCTTCCCCTTCATGGATCACAGCCTTGTCTTGGTGAAGGGGCTTGTGTAATTCATTGAAGTTATGAGCCATGCCATGCAGGGTCATCCAGGACAGATGAGTCATAATGAAGAGTTCTGACAAAACATGGTCCACTGGGGGAAGAAATGACAAATCACTTCAGTATTCTTGCCACAAGAACTCCATGAACAGTATGAAAGGCAAAAAGATATGACACCAGAACATGATCCCCCCAGGTTGGAAGGTGTCCAGTATGCTACTAGGAAAGAGCAGAGGGCAATCATTATTAGTTCCAGAAAGAGTGAAGTGGCTGGGCCAAAGCAGAAATGACACTCGGTTGTGGATGTGTCTGGTGGTGAAAGTCAAGTTGGACGCTGTTAAGAACAATATTGCATAGGAACCTGCAATGTTAGGTTCATGAATCAAGGTAAATTGGACATGGTTAATCGGGAGAGGGCAAGGTTGAACATCAACATCTTAGGAAACAGTGAACTGAACTTGACAGGAATGGGTGAATTTAATTCAGATGACCATTATACCTACTACTGTGGGCAAGAATCCCTTAGAAGAATTGGAGTAACCCTCATAGTCAACCAGAGAGACTGAAATGCGGTATTTGGGTGCAATCTCAAAAATGACAGAATGATCTTGGTTCATTTCCAAGGTAAACCATTTAACATCACAGTAATCCAAGTCTATTACCCAAACACTGATGGAAAACAAGCTGAAGTTGACCAGTCCTATGAAGACCTACAATATCTTCTAGCTGCTACTGCTGCTGCTAAGTCGCTTCAGTCGTGTCTGACTCTGTGTGACCCCATAGACGGCAGCCCACCAGGCTCCCCCATCCCTGGGATTCTCCAGGCAAGAACGCTGGAGTGGGTTGCCATTTCCTTCTCCAATGCGTGAAAGTGAAAGTGAAAGTGAAGTCGCTCAGTTGTGTCTGCCTCTTAGCGACCCCACGGACTGTAGCCCACCAAGCTCCTCCATCCATGGGATTTTCCAGGCAAGAGTACTGGAGTGGGGTGCCGGTGCCTTCTCTGACAATATCTTCTAGAACTAACACTAAAAAGAAGTCCTTTTTCATCATGGGGAATTGGAATGCAAAAGTAGAAAGTCAAGAAATATCCAGAATAATAGGCAAGTTTGGCCTTTGAGTACAAAATAGGCAGAGCAAAATCTAACAGAGTTTGTCAAGAAAACAGGTTAGTCACAGTAAACCCTTTTCCAAAAGCCAAAGAGATAGCTTGACACATCACCAGATGTCAATATAAAAATCAGATTGATTTTGTTCTTTGCAGCCAAAGATGGGGAAGCTCTAGAGAATCAGCAAAAACAAAACCTGAAGCTATCTGTGGCTCAGATCATGAGCACCTTACTAAAAAATTCAGGCTTAAATTTAAGAGAGTAGGGAAAACCACTAGGCCATTAAGATATGATATAAATCAAATTCCTTATGACTAAACAGTGGCAGTGATGAACAGATTAAGGGATTAGATTTTAGGGTAGACAGAGTGCCTGAAGAACTATAGACTGAGGTTCGAAACAATGTATAGGAGGCAGTGACCAAAACCATCCCAAAGAAGAAAAGATTCAAGAAGGCAAAGGGGTTGTCTGAGGAGGCTTAAAAATTGTTGATGAAAGAAGAGAAGCAAAAGTCAAAGGACAACTTGCAAGGTATACTGAATGCAGAGTTCCAGAGAAGAGCAAGGAGAGATAAAAATGTCTTCTTAAATGAACAATGAAAAGAAATAGAGGAAAACAATAGAACGGGAAAGAATAGAGACCTCTTCAAAATAATTGGAGATATCAAGAGAATATTGCTTGCAAAGATGGGCATGATAAAGGACAGACAGTAATAACCTACAAGAAGCAGTAGAGATTAAGAAGAGGTGACGAGAGAACTATACAAAAAAGGTCTTAACGTTAACCACGGATAACCACGATGGTGTAATCACTCACCTAGAGCCAGACATCCTGGAGTGTGAAGTCAAGTGGTTCTTAGAAAGCACCACTACGAATGAAGCTAGGGGAGGTGGATAAATTCCAGCTAAGCCATTTCAAATCCTGAAAAGATACTGCTGTTAAAATGCTGCACTCCTTTTGTCAGCAATTTGGAAAACTCAGCAGTGACTGCAGGACTTTAAAAGGTGTTTAATTCCATTCCAAAGAAGAGGAATGCCAAAGAATGTTCAAACTACAGTACAATTTCACTCATTTCACATGCTAGCAAGTTTATGCTCAAAATCCTTCAAGTTCAGTTTCAACAGTATGTGACCTGCGAAATTCCAAACATACAAACTGGGTTTTGAAGAGGCAGAGGGACAAGCAATCAAATTGCCAGCATCCATAGTATCATGGAAAAAGCAATGGAACGCCAGAAAAATATCTACCTCTGCTTCTTGGACTATGCTAAAGCCTTTGACTGAGTGGATCACAATGAACTATGGAAAATTCTTAAAGGGATGAAAATATCAGACCACCTTACTTTTCCTGTCTCCTGAGAAACCTGTATGTGGGTCAAGAGACAACAGTTAGAAATGGACATGGAACAACTGACTGGTTCCAAATTGGGAAAGGAATAGAACAAAGCCAAATAATTGTCTTCTTGCTTATTTATCTTATATGCAGAATACATCATATGAAATGACAGGCTGGATGACTCACACTGGAATCAAGATTGCCAGAAGAGATATCAATAACCTCAGATATGTAAATGATACCATTCTAATGATGGAAAGTGAACAGGAACTAAAGAATCTCTTTAGATGAGGGTGAAAGAGGAGAGTAAAAAAGCTGGCTTGAAACTCAACATTCAAAAAACTAATATCATGGCATCTGGTACCATCACTTCATGGCAAATAGAAAGGGAAAAAGTGGAAGCAATGTCAGATTTTATTTTCTTTGGCTCCCAAATCACTGCATACAGTGACTGCAGCCATAAAATTAGAAGACTCTAGCTCCTTGGAAGGAAAGCTATAACAAACGTAGACAGTGTATTAAAAAGCAGAAACATTGCTTTTCTCACAAAGGTCTATATAATCAAAGCTATGTTTTTTTCCAGTAGTCATGTGGAGATGTGAGATAAAGAAGGTGGAGTGCTGAGAAATTATTGCTTTTGAATTATGGTGCTGGAGAAGACTCTTGAAAGTCCCTTTGACAGCACAGAAATTCAACCAATCAATCCTAAAGGAGATCAATCCTGCTTCATTTAGGGGATGGACTGATGCTGACCCTGAAGCTCCAATACTTTGGTCACATGATGCGAAGAGTCAACTCATTGGAAAAGACCCTGATGCTGGGAAAGAATTAAGGCAAAAGAAGGAGGCAGCAGAGGATGAGATGGTTGCATAGCATCACCAACTAAATGGGCATTAATTTGAGCAAACTCCAGGGAATTGTGGAGGACAGAGGAGCCTGGCACACTGCCGTCCATGGGGTCACAAAGAATTGGACAGGACTTAGGGACTGAACAACATGTCACTCTCACTAATTCAAATGAAAGAACTCAGTTTTTTGTTATGTAAATACGATTTCTTAATGTTTCCCCTTAAGCAAGAGAAAGCAATCTATAAGCATAGCCTCCATCATTTAATTTTCAAAAACAATTGTATTGATTTAACATGCCACTGGAGTTTAATTAAAAAATCATCAAATGGGCATCTATGTTTGTGTGTTTGTGAAAAAGTGAGCAGTGAGGATGGGAAATTTGAATTAAATCATTTTCAATTGATTGGTTCCAATTTTGCTGTCTTTTCATTTTTGTGTTTACAGTAAATTTATATATACATCATCAGAAATGTATCTTCAATAACTTCACTTGTTGAGTAAAAGTTTTCAGGAAGATGTGTTAAATATTGCATGTTATACAATTTTCCAAATTAAAACTGGATTTTTATAAACTGTCACAGCTGTTCATATTTTCTTTATTTTTGAAGGGTGCATCTCTAAGCACAATCATATGTGAAGATATGAAAGTTGTTTTCTGAACCATTTTCAAAATTGTCTTTAGTCTAATTGTGAATCATTTCTATTCAATATGCAAGATACTTTTCCATCCATATCCCCTTTCAAAAACACACATATGCCCATGTGCCTAAAGCATCATTGAGTTCACTTTAAAAATATTATCATACTTTTATATTTTAAATAATAATTCAACCTTTTGCCAAAATAAACATAAATCAATTATTTGTCTAATCCATGCATGTATTGGTAGTAGTTGGAAGCACAATTTTCAGACGCCTTTTTGAGATTGTTATGTGTGTTTCTGTTTTTTAGAATGAGGAGCCTGTGTTTTCTAGAGATGGTAGCAAATTCTTCATGACAGTTCCTGTGAAGCAAGGGGGTCGTGGAGAGTTTCACCATATAGCTATGTTCCTTGTCCAGGTAAGTGCTGTGTTCCACATGTAGCTTGTTCTCATTGCCATCCACGTGGCATTCTGCATCTATAGTTAATGTCTGTAGCATCCAGTCATATATCCAATTCTGGGATGTTTTAGGAAGAGGGTCCCTATCCATAGCCCTAATTCAAGCCACCCACAAAACATTTTCAGCACTCAGTAAAATTTAGTGAGATACACATGTGTGCTATGAGTTGAGGGCCTTGGGATATAGAATTTAATAAATAGAAAGAACCAAACTCCTACTTTCAAAGACCTGAGGAAACTCGAGAGACAATTTCTCATTCAACAAATATATATCATCTATTTGGTGCAAGAAATGTTTTCAAAGTGCTATAAAATTTTAAATACCTGAAGCAACCTGAATGTCCATCAAAAACTGAATAGTTAATAAGTTACGGAACACCCACAGAAGGAAATGCAATGCAGATTCTAAAAACCATGATAAAATAGATTCTTAAGGGTTGTCAAAGTCACAAAGTCTGTGTTACATTTTTATGGACTTTTTGATAAAAAGGGAATAAAGTGTTATTTTCCTCTACATTTGAAGTGAAGGTTAACCAGTTTATATAGTTTTACTAATTATGAAAGAATCAGGGAATTCACAATAAGCAATTAAAATATGATAAGATTATGAGTCAATTTGAAACTAATTACCAATAAAATATTCATGAGAATTAAAGTTTCCTTCAAAATCAAATAAACAGTCTAGTCACAGGTAGATGATGATTTATCAAGATAAAGCATTGTGGATAAATTGGAATCTTTCTTAAGATGTTACAAACATCCTAGCCAAGAATCAATTTCATACTTACTTTGTCGTTCAGTTGCTCAGTCGTCTCTGGCTCTTTGTGACCTCATGAACGGTGGCACACCAGGCCTCCCTGTCTTTCACTATCTCCCAGAGTTTGCTCAAACTCATGTCCATTGAGTCAGTGATGTCATCCAACCCTGCTGCTTCTTTCTCCTGCTCTCAATCTTTCCCAGCATCACGGTCTTTTCCAATGAGTCAGCTCTTTGCATCAGGTGGCCAAAGTATTGGAGCTTCAGCCTCAATATCAATCCTTCCAATGACTTTTCAGGCTTGATTTCCTTTAGGATTGACTGGTGTGATCCCCTTGCATTCCAAGGGCCTCTCAAGTGTCTTCTTCAGCACCACAGTCTGAATGGGTGATTATCTGGTGGCTCAGATGGTAAGGAATCTGCCTCAAGTGCAAGAAAGAGACCCAGGTTCAATCCCTGAATCCGGAAGATTCCCTGGAGAAGGGAATGGCTACCCATTTCCAGTATTCTTGCCTGGAGAATTCCATGGAAAGAGAAGCCTGGCAAGTGACAGTCCATGGGGTCAAAAGAGTTGGACATGATTGAGCAACTTTCATGCTTACTAAGAATAGAATAAAAATAAATGTGGCAAAAAATCCATAAGCAACCTGACTGCTTTATGTTCTTAGTATTTTCAAGTCTTGTGCATATTCACAAAATTTTACCATTATCCATGTACATATTTACATTGGGCAGCTCAGAAACTTGACTTTTCCAAAGTCTTTCCTATTAATTGTCATGATTTTAACTTTAATTTTAAGCAAAGCTGAAATAAATAATTTGACCATACATAATTTCCACAGCAGAGAGGTAGATCACTTTTCAAGGCATATTATTAAATTAGAAAAATAAACTATAGAGTAATATATGATGTGATCTCATTTATGTTTTTAAATAAAATAATGCATTTATATATGAAAAAAATAGGGGGTGATTCTATACTGAACTATTAAATGATTATAATAGACAGGTGATATTAATGGAATACTTTGTGATGTTTATGTGAACTGGAGGAAGCTTTACCAGGAAATTGCTGACCTGATTCACTTTTGTTTGTTAATCATAAATTTTGTTATCATAAATACTGGGGATATACATGTGCCAAAATAGTAAATAATCTTCCAAATCCTACAATTGCCTGTGGTGACATCTTATTAAAATTTTAATTATCTGTCTTTTTATTCAGTAATCTGAATAGAAATCCAAGTAATCAAAATCATATACAGACTGTGAATATATTCATAAGATACAGAGAAAGGTAGAGAAAGATGTGTAATGCATCTATGGATGAGTAAATGTAACATATATGGACTTTCGTTGGCTTAGCAGGTAACGAATCTACCTGCAGGATGCAGGTTTGATCTTTGGGTGGGGAAAAGCCCATGGAGGAGAAAATGGCAACCCACTCCACTATTCTTGCCTGAAAAATCCAAAGGACAGAGGAGCCTGGCAGGCTGAAGTCCTAAGTGTCCCAAGGAGTTGGACGCGAGTGAGCAACTAAGCATTATCTTAAGTGTTAGTCGCGCGATTGTGTTACCTCTTTGAGACCCCGTGGACTGTAGCCCACCAGGCTCCACTGTCAGTGGGTTTCTCCAGGCAAGAATACTAGACTGGGTTGCCATTGTCTTCTCCAGGAGATCTTCCCTCCCCAGGGGTTGGACTGGTGTCTCCTGTATTGACAGGCAGATTCTTTACGTTCTGAGCCACCAGAGAAGTCAACTAAGCATATATATATGGAGAAGGGGATGGCAACCCACTCCAGTATTCTTGCCTGGAGAATCCCATGGACAGAGGAGCCTGGTGGGCTACAGTCCACGGGGTCGCACAGAGTCAGACATGACTGAGCAGTTTTATATATATGTATATATCTTAGAAGATAGTCTATCCAACAAAGTAGGAAGAGAAATGTCTTTTGAAAGTGTGGGATTGGCAGAGCTGGGGTCAGGTTTGAACATGTTGGCATGTAAGAACTGAGGTATTTATATACCTAACAAAATTTTCTTTACAAGCCTTGGGAAGAAATACCTTCTGTCTCCCAATCAAGCCAGTCTGAAATGCAGTCTAATTCATTATTTCTGAAATATTCAGTAGAACAACTTCATAGAGCAGATGTGTTTACATTGTTCCTCTTCCATATGGAGATTATAACAAAATTTCATTGAACTAGAAAACATTTTGATATATTCTGGTTGCAGTTCAGAGAACTTGTGATTTGCCTCACTGAGACATAAAAATGGCTGCATGATTATTTGGGTGTATTTTGGCCATGTGACTAAAGTTAACTTACTTTGTTAATGCATCAGAGGTCAGTGCCTAGGTAAAGACAATTTATTCCTAAGTTAGCACATATATACACACAGAGAATTTTAGTAAATATTTTGAATCTCTTTGCCTCAATTTTAAAATAGCTAACAAAAAAGCTCTTTAATGAATTGTTTATGATTACCATATTGACATCAACATATATGCACACTATAAAAAGTTGTAAAATAATAACTGAATAAACAAAATAAAGGTATATATAAAATCAAATATGGTCTCATCACCCCACACTGGCACATTGCAAATCAGTTGTATATATTTTGAATTCCTTTTTGATTGAAAAATATGTCATTTTTCCCTAAAAAACATGCAAAGCTATATATTTACTTGTAACGTTTAAAGAGTAATTATGAGCATTTTCTCACATCATTTAATTTCATTCCTAATATTTAATATTATTTTAAAATGTGATTTTAATAGCTACTCAACATTATGTCCAGTAAACATATCATACCATATTTAAATGAATTAATTTTAATCATGAAATTTATTTCTATTTTTGATACTAAAAAGTATTCAAACCTAAACATTACTCCTATAAATATATATTTCTAGATATCAAAAGATACCTAGGCAAAGTGTATGTGTACATATATGTCTTTGCTTAGGCTTTAATACGGAAGGTAAAATTGGCCTTCCAAAAACAGTTTAATAATTTACTGTCTAAACAGTAATGCATGTCACCAGAGATGACTTTTTACCCCGTCTTCCTTCCCTTTATATGCCTGAGGATGCCACCTAGATTGATGTGCCCAGAGAGAGAGAAATGATGAGGACAGAGAGCTTGGCAGCCAATATTCAGGAAGACTACTTTTGTAGTACTAGATGCTAAGCTTCATTTGAGAGCGTCCCCACTGACTGAAAAATATATTGATCTATTTGAACTGTCTTACCAAATGAAAGTAGTAAGTTTTTGCAAACATTTTTCTCTCTTACACAATTACTAGGCAAACAAAAATACATTGGTTAGATACCAGGCTGCAAATTAGTATTTCAAGATATATTCACTACAGAAATGGACAATTTTCCTTACAAATGGTTTAGTGTTTTTTTGTTGTTGTTGTTGCTCATTTACAAAACTAATGCTTGTTAAAATAATTCCAAAATATAAAAGTAGAAAAAAATTATGATTCCTTTTCCTCCAGTATTCTTTTAAATATGATTATAATTTTATGTAAACTACAGTATTTTATCCTGGTATTTCAATTTAGAAGCAAAATCTTCCCATAGTGGTAAACAATTTTGAGTACAGTTCTTTTGAATATTCATACTTAGTTGACGGGGTGTACCTTCCCAGGTGGCACTAGTGGCAACAGATCTGCCTGCAATGCAGGAGACCTGTGTTTGATCCCTGGGTAGGGAAGTTCCTCTGGAGATGGGCATGACAACCGCTCCAGTGTTCCTGCCTGAGAATGCCATGGACAGAGTCTGGTGGGATACAGTCCATAGAGTTGTAAAGAGTCAGACATGATTGAAGTGACTTAGCACTCACACACCTACTTAACCATGATTGTTCAATGTTTAAATTAGTGACAATTTGCTGTAGTTATAGATTTCGCTATGTATAAAACTTTATTATAAATTATTTCTTTAATTTAGTTAACAGAACTGGAATTCCTATATCAAAAGTAAAATATTGTTAAGCCCTATGTATTTCCAGATACTTTCTATATAAATGTGAGAAAACACAATTTATGAATGAGTTTTCTCTGCTTTTATGTATTCTGTTAAAGATAATAATAAAAATAAAACCTGGGTCTTCCAAAAATTTATATAAGTTAAAATAAATTTCATTCTGAGTGTGCAATGCAATATTGGAAACAGTTTCCATTGTTCCTGATT